ACTCCTCGTTCTGCCTGCCTAAGGCAAGAGGGCCAGAGGGGAAAATCCAACGTGTCTGTGCACCCAGGCTTGTCTGATCCCCTGCATCCAGGAGCTGGCCCCCACACCCCCATGACCTCATGCGCTCGGGCAACATTTCCTCATAGCATCTCTCTCACTCCACAAGGCAGGAGGTCAAACGTGGCCAGTGATCCAGAGCACGGGTTCTATGACACTGAGTCACAACCCTGTGTTCAGCCGTGCCCAGCAGACAGACCGTTTCTCGGTTTCAGTCTGGTGTACACACTCCCACCCCACACACTCACCTAGAACCTGTTGCATGACATTTCCCATCTTCAGAGAGGGAAAAAGTGGAAAATTACGGAGTAAATCTGCAGGCTGCAGGGGACTGAACTTTAAAAGCCTGCCTTCAGAGGGACCTGGGCTTGCAGGGTGTAGCTGTTTCGCTCTTGGCCCCAAAAGCAAGGAGCAGGGCACAGCTCCCATCCACGGGTTAAATGCTCAGCGACACCAAGGCTCTGTTGGGAACAGTCCCCAGCCCTCCCTGTCCCCCAGCCATGCCGTGCCTGGGCGCTGCGGCACTGCTAGCTGGCACAGCCCAAAACCACGCCAGGGAGGGTGCTAACAACCACACGGCATGAGCCATCATGCCGAGGCAGCGCTCGGGCCTGGCCCTGCTCCTGTTGCATTTACTAAGACAGACAAAGCCAGAGGGACCAGAAAGGAGCCTACGAAAGGCCACGTACACCCTCGGGAAATCTGCGTGTGCAGACTCTGCGTCTCCCTCCTCCTCCTCCTCCTGGGTCACAGTTTTCTTTTTATTCCTAACCCCATGTCTGCCATGCCCCAGCACTGGGTTCACTCCGCCCTGCTGCTCCTTGCCACTGCCAAAAGCAGGGCTGAAGCTGGGTGCGGTGCCAAGCGGCAGAGGCCGAGCAGCCAGACTGGAGGGAGAGAGCCACTGGACTGCCTTCTCCTGCCATTTCACAGTCTGGACTTAAGCCAGCGCTGAAGTTTCCTAGGGAACCTGAGGCAGCTGCAGCCAAAGCAGAATCGCTGGCAATGGGGGATTTTCAAGCCCAGGCCAAAAACTGTCTATTCAAGCTCGCCAGCTGCCAAACCTAAGCCAGCTACACAGCCGAGAGCATGTGCATTCAGCGCCCGGGCTCCCCGTGGCAGGGAAGCCTCCCCCCGCTGCCCGCTTGTAAAAGACGGGCGCACTCCTCCCTGTGCCGCGTTGTAAAAGAGAGGCTGCACACGGCTGCATCTCTGAGCTCCCCGGGCAGCTGCTACGCTGAACATCCCCAGCAAACGCTTCACTAAGTCACACTTCGTTGTCGCCGCAATGCAGGGATGTATTCATCATCCAGGCTTGTGGATTTGCTGCAGTTAGGCTCCCTGATTTGCTCCAGGATGCCTAGTTTTGTGTCGCTCATCTCAGCTCGGATCATGCTTGGACGCCTGTGAAAAATGCCTTTTGCCATAGGATTCCTTCTCCTTTTCACTCCTGCTGTTCTTAGAGCCAAACTGTATCTCAGCAAAATCCAGGCTATTAAACCACTTTTTTCCCCCCAATACTTGCGCTTTCTAATGATGCCCCATCCATCTGCTAGCGGTAACACAGCAAGTCAGGGCTAGAGTGAGAACAGGTGAATCTGTTCACCTTTTCAAGTGCCGCTCTCGACACCTGAATCCCGAGTGCACTGTATCGGTAGCGGATCTGTTCCAGTCCGGAGCTGATCTCACCAGCTGTACGGCGAATGACTTCATCGAGGCTCCCCCTTGCGGGCTCAGGGCCTTTGATGCTCACTTCAGCCCCATAAATGTAAGCAGCACTCTCTAACCTGGCAGGTCTTCCTCTCTCTGCCCTGTTTTTGGCTTACCCAGATACATAGCCTACCAGCCCCCAAGCCATGGCTATGACTACGGCTGCCATCCTGTCAGTTTTCTTTCATCTTTGCCTGCTGCCAATGCTGTTCCTCAGCAGCAAGAGCGTTCCCGTGTCCTCAGAGCATTCCCTGACTGTCCTGGACTCTCTTGGGAAGGCGCTATCGGCAACAGCAAATCCCACTAAGCCTTCCCCAGGGGGTAACAAGGCACTGCCAGTCCCTACACTGGCCCGGAGGGCACTGCCGCCCACTCAGTCGAGGGATCAAGACACCCCCCGAGTTGCCCAGTCTGGCAGGAGGGCTCAAACACAAGGAAGCAGCAAGCTGCACAGCTCACCTCTAACCCTGGTATTTGCTTCTCTCGCTTGTTTGTCTCGCTGAGCCAGTTGCTCTAATGACAGAATCAACCTGGAAAAGAAATTTAGTATACAGAGGTCAAAACAATTCCCCAAAGGAAGCAAGTGCAATTATCCCCATGCTAACGACCAGGGAAACTGAGGCAGCTGAGCTTAGATATGCATTTCCCTGAGCCTTGCCCCGAGACATGTTTAATTGCAGAGATCTAACCAGCAGGTTTTCTGATCCTTCATCCAGCACCCTGTTTCCTCATTCTGCTCCTGTAGTTGCAGAAGGATGCCTTTGATCACTGGGGACAGGTCTTCCTACAGTGAAAAGGGAAACACTGAAAGAAATGGAAGGGAGCAATCCTGGTGGATGACTGCATACCACAAGAAAGTGCTGCATATGAAAGGGAAGGAGACATTTCCTATTAGATTAAAGGAGCTCAAACCTGCTCTCCCTCTAGAGAAGTATGCAACTCTATACTTGCCTCTCTAATTGCAACCCTCTGCTGGGAAAGGTGCTCAGAAGTATTGCGAAAGGAAGGAGATTAGCCAAGGTCAGGGAATAGCAGGGCTGCAAATCCAGAGGATTGCGTAAGAGGTGCATGATCTGAGGTGATGTCAGGAGAGGTGCTGCCAGCCCTGTTCTAAGAGAAAGTAGCAGAGGTAAAACTGAGCCAAAAATCCAGGAACTGGCTGTTGCAGTAAGCCAGAGCAGGAAACAACAAAAGGGAACAAAGGACCACAGTACCGAGCTTCAGGAAAGTGAAGGTCTCTGGCAGAATGCCTTGCCAAGGCAAGAGGAATGCGACAGGGGAAAGGGAACCTCACGTCACAGGCCAGAGCCAACAACTCAGCAGGCAGCGCACAAAAGCTCTCGCTGCCGCACACAAGCGCATCTGAAAAACATCGCAGGCCTCGCATAAACACACAAGGCAGAAAAACCAAACAAACGTTGGGACAGAGCGAGGGCGACAGGGCAGTTCTGGCTGGCTGAAGACAACCTGGTGCGTGGAAAACCCCTCTCCCAGGCGACTCGGCTGCTCCTGCAAGGCTGCCTTCCTTTCCCGACTGAGGGGGACTTAGTCTGTTTTGCGATTCACCTCGACGGTACAGGCAGCAAGAGCATTTCCTAAGCCCTGGTGGATCAGGCAAGACCTCTCCTGCCTGCTGCTGCCCTCTGCGGGACAGCCTGCTGCAGGGCCTGCCAAACCCGGCATCTCGCACCCCTCTGCCAGCACAAGCTTTCCTTGCGCTGGCACGACAACTACCCAGGCCTCCGGCTCGCACGTAATCATTTTCCTCTGCAACTGGCGACGAGCTAATTATAGTGCCAGTACTTTCATTCTGGAGCGGTGTCAATTACAACACGGAGCGTCTCACTCCATCCAAACCTAGTTTGGGATTCCAGCTGTCAGTAAAAACACATCGAGGGACAGGAGAAAGGTTTTTCCTCACATGTCATCTAACCACTGTTACAGAGGGTGAAACTCAGACTCAGATCTCTTTTTTTGTTGCACTTAGGGTCCTTGTTATACGGAAAGCAGATGTAACCAAAGGGGAAAGAGACTCCTAAATCTATGAGAAATAACAGCAAGGTTTGAAAGGCCGCTGCTGACACAACTGTTATGCATGAGTTCACTTGCCATTGTTTGCAACCAGCTGAAAAGAGGTGCAGCCTTCCACTCGTCCTGGACTTGCTAACCACCGGGTGTTACCAAAGAGAAGAACATAAACACTCTCCAGGCTCAGACAGATCAAAACCTGAGCAAAAGGGGGCTGTGAAGCACCAAGCTGAAAAACCACTCCTTCGGAGGCATCGCTTTGTGGGTTGGAGAGAAGAGATGCGTGCCTTCTACGCAGATCGTACATGACCTAGAAGAGTAATATCTAGGCCTCAGTCTCCTAAAGATGACTTAAGGATTCTCAGAAAAATCAAAGAGGCAGCAGCGACAGGCAAGGTTGACTCACCGGACTAAAATAACTCATGTAAAACGTGCCTGAACACGGCAGAGGGAAGGATGTAGCAATTTGCTATGAAAGGCACTTAAAAAAGGCTTTGTGATGCAAGGCTGTAACAGTTAAAAAAAGAATTACATTCAAGTACCAAAAAGTCCCCCCCCAAAACAATGGCCATACATATGGAAAAGACATTAGGTGCGACATCAGGGCAGTTCCCTTGCCTGCCACCTGCGGGATTAGCTCTGTAAATGAGTAACCCAGCACAGGACCGCTCTGACTCAGACCTCCTAGGCGCTTCAAGGCTGAACAGGCTGTATCATATGTTCGCTCTTATCGCGGAGGCTCCGGCAGGGCCAGGGCCGGCCCCAGCGGGCAGCTTTGAGCACCGCCGCTGATGCGTCACGCCAGGGGCTCTTCAAACAGGCGGAGGCCTACGCTGCCTGAACGTCATCGGGTTGGCACCTTCCACCGGCATTATTAAAGAAAAAAAAAAAAAAGAAAACAACAAAAGGAATAAGTCACTGGAGGGGTACAGACATGCTCTTCCAAGACCACTGCAGCAGAGAGAAAACAAGCAATGTTAAATGACACAGCTAGGGCTGGCCTGCATCACCAGAACCGCAGGGGGAAAGAGAACGAATGGAGTTTATATTCCTGGAGCCCTTAGTTATTTCCAGGCCTTCACCAAACTCCCCCCGCGCCGCCTCAGCCGCTCAGCCAGGTGGGAGGAGGCCGGGCCAGGCCCCGCCAGGAGCGGGCCGGCAGCCGTTTACAGATGAGCCCCACCAGGGCAGGGGAGCCCGCTTACGAGCACGTATAGCGTCTCCCGAAGCGCCCCCCGCCCCGGAGGCCGGAGGAGCGGCGCCTGCGCCGGAGCCGCCGGGCTCGGTGTCCTTTGAAAGGACACGCGGCGCCCCCGCGAGGCGGAAGTGCCCTCTCTCCGCACCGGAAGTGGCCTCACCTGCCAGCACAAGGGTTCTTCCGGGAAGGGCTGGGTCGGCTTGTTTCCGCGTAGCCGCTGTTTTCCGGCGCTGTGGCTCGCCCCGCTCTCACTCGCTCCCTGTACCCTTTTTCCCGGCGGCCTTCTGCTGTATTCCTCATCCCGCACCGTTCTTTCCCCTGCGCGGTGAACTCTATGGTGACTCGGGAGTGCCCTTCGACAGGGGGCGCGCTGGGAGCCGGGGACGGCGCTCTACCCCGCCGACTTCCGGCGCTCTATAGTGAGGTTGTCGGTGCGGCGCTCTAGACGGTTCGGTGCCCTCTCGATGGCTCGGCGGCGCCGGGCCGGGCGGGTGGGCGGCGGCGGCG